TGACATGCTCTGGGTAAAATCTCTCTCTCAACACCATCTTGAACATCCCCCGGTCAAACCCTTCTCTTGCCTGAACAGCTGGTCCTTCCATGACCCACCAGTGGTCAGCCTCTCCCTGTAGGTAGTACACAGTAGCCTCTACTCGCTGGTCCTCTGGGCATCCTACCACGTCAAACAACTTGTCGAACGTGCGGATCCAACTCTCAAGAACTTCCGAATCCTCCTGACCCAAGAAAAACGGTGGATTGCGTCCCGTGATCTTTCTGGACACATCACCGCCACCGTTATTCCCATTGAGTACGGCAGCTCCTATGGTCTGGGTCAACTGGGTGAGCTGGCGCAGACTCTTAGTCAAATCTGTGGATGACGACGCTCCAGGCCCTGAGGAACGAGGAGATTCCTCTCTAACTCTTCGCGGCGGCATCGTGGAACCCTTTGAACATGACCAGAACAGATCATTCTTGTTAGCACGTCTAATAAGTTAGCTGGTTCTAACTTCTCTATTCTTAAGACAAACTTGCAACAAGCAGATCACACGCGGCAACAAAGGCATCTCTTCTCATCTATTTTAACCACTTATCAAGAACAACTTCTCTTCTAAGCTTAATCTTTCAAGCTCTTGGTTTTTCTCTTTCAACTTCTCTCCTTACTTCTCTACTTTACTCGAAACAGATAGATAGGCATAACAAGCACATTGGTAAATCATATAAACAAGGCACATGTATAAACTCTTATACTTTTAACATTAGCACTTTTACAAAACTTCCACTTTCAAACTTTAACTTTCAAAATTTCAATTTCCAACTTTCACTTTATCTTCTCACTGAAAACTTCTCGGCTTTACTTTCAAAAGATAGATAAAAGCGCTTTAAACACATTGATAAAGCATAAAACATATAAGCAAACACAAAGGAACTCACGACCTCACCGCGTTCCAAACCGATACTTAGAGTTTCTCTTAACTCTGATTCTCATACTCAATCACTAAACTTAGAGTCTTTCTTATCTCAATCTTCATAACTTAGGGCTCTTCTCTAATCTTATCATTCTTAGAATTTCCACTTAATGTTCTCTTCTTATCTAGTCTTTATTAAGACTTCAACTTAGAGGTCTTTCCTTATCTTGTCCTTCCTAGGACTTTTACTTAGAGTTTCTATACTCAACCTTAAAGCTCAAAACTTCCTAAGTCTCCCGCGGTTCGTACCGCTCTGATACCAATTTGTAACACCCCACTTTTCTAACTCTTAATTACAACTTTAAATAGGCATTAACATCACTAAGCAGCGGAAATAACCAAAAAATAAATAGTGGGAGTGGCACCGCCACAACCACCACTCCGTGGTGATTGCACAGGCTAAGGGGTAAAAATAGAAATAGAGTAAAAGTCTGGCATCCATCATAAAAACTGAAAACATAAGGGGGAAATACATCACCACAAATAGTCTACATCATCCTCAAACCATAAAGTCAAAAGGTCTAAAATCCATACTCGTAAACATCATTGATACTAGAGTTTACATATCACTATCTACGAGACTAATCTAACTCGACTTCTTCACACTGTTGGGCCCACCTGAAAGGGGTTTTGCAAGGAACACATAGACAAATAGGAAAACACCCGTTAGCACAAAGCTATGTATAACCGCACTCAACCCTGTAAAGCATTCTAGCATTTACTTAGAAAACATTTGATTTCTTTATAACAAAAAGCTCATCTCAAATCATCTTTAGATTTATCACTCTTTCTAGATGCTTGCACCCTATAATATCCGCTAGCATTCTCATATATGTATAAGACTGATCACATAGATTCATCAACATACAAACTTCTCAAATAACTTAACAAGCAATTCATGCTTACAGATAGGATCATGCTAATAGACCATATAACAGGTATTCTCATACTTTCACATTCTCATCACATAACTTGATAAATAGAGCTTCTAGTACAACAAGACAATCATACTCGATGGAAAATCTTAAGTCAACTTTCTCGTTATGAAATGTTATATGATACTTTACTCACATGCAATCTCGTGTAATAGTATATATCACTCTAACATACAAACTTGTGCAAAGCTGTAAACATATTCATATGCAATCTCATACGATACAATAATCATACTCTTATGCAATCTTGTGCAATAATATGCGTCATACTCATATGCAATCTCGTGCAATATTATACTTCATTCAAATAGGTAATCTTGTGCAATTAAATAATCTTTCTCATATGAAATCTCGTGTAATACAATAATCATACTCTTATGCAATCTCATGCAATACTATATACATACTCATATGCAATCTCGTGCAATACTATAGTCATACTCTTATGCAATCTCGTGCAATACTATACTCATACTCATATGCATTCTCGTGCAACTATATACTAATACTTATATGCATTCTCGTGCAACTATATACTCATACTTATATGCAATCTCGTGCAATAATATATTCATGCTCATATGCAATCTCGTGCAATAATATACTCATGCTCATATGCAATCTCGTGTAACTATGTAATCATACTCTTATGCAATCTAGTGCAATAATATACTCATACTCATATGCAATCTCGTGCAACTATAGATATATAAATACTCATACACTCTTTTATGAAATAGAGTACTTTCTGTGGAGGTCCTTTGTTACTTTCTTGAGTCTCTCTTGACTCTCTTTCTTTCTCTTGAGTCTCTTTTGACTCCCTTTCTTTCTCTTGAGTCTCTGTTGACTCCCTTTCTTTATCTTGAGTCTCTTTTGACTATATTTCTTGAGTCTCTATTGACTCTCTTCTTTCTCTTTACTAGACGACTTAGGGTTTCACCGAAGCGTGAATTACCCCATCGGGAACGGCATAAATCCGACCCAATATCTCCTACCGTGTACGGAACCAATCTCGTGGTTCAAACTCAGTGGAATCAGGTATCGAACTTTTAGTGTGCACAACCCCTAACCAGGATTCCAAGCCTGGCGGGAAGTTTCCAACCTCGTAACGTGGGAATACGCCGTGTTACATATACTGGGACCGCAATGTCCATAAATATCTCACGAAAGGACATAGTCCAAACGGTATCCTCCAAAACCTCACCGATATAGATAATACATAAATATATCTCTCATGCATCAATCTCATGCATGCAACAATTCTACTACTTCTCAATGCATCAAAGAATGATATACCACATGCTTATGGTTTTTGAAAGTATTCTTGGGCTCACGTTGGCTCCTTATGCATTTTTGAAATATGACACATGTGAATTGTCAAAATGCCCTATAACATGCTTTTAAACCAAGTATAAAATAACATGAAATACTTAAGAATAAAATGTCATGCTCGGTTTGCAACATAGAAAATTCTATACATTCTATCAACAAAATATGCTTCACTTCTCATTGATCAAATATCTCAATCTAGTCATGCTTTCATAATAAATCATATTCTCAAATGATCATGCTTCTTTGCTCAATAAAAACATCATCAGATCACATAGTCAGATAATTCTTCATACACAGTAACTTAGAAAATATATACTCTGTATAACAATTCTTCACAAATTCCTTCATAACATACTCCTTTTTAATCCAAATCCAACGAAATCAAAGCCAAAACGTGCGTCGAGACGGTCCTGAAGAGCCGAGCCACAAGGGCCCGTAACACTCAGCCCGAAACGACACGTAGCTGAGCCACAAGGGCCCGGCCACTGCACAGATTCTTCTCAGAATCAAAGTCAGGGGCCTGGGGCGGGACTCTTCATGGTCCGCCCCTTATACCCCGTCACTTCATCGGGACTAGGCGGCGGCCCTCCTCTAGGGCCGTGCCCTAGTCCCGTGCCACTACGGCTCTAGCTGGCGGCCCTCCTGATGGGCCGCGGCTAGGGCCGCTAGTCTGGTCTGATGCATACTGTCTGTGCACTAAAAGGCTTTTTCATCTGCAAAACTCAACCAAACAAGTCCAAAAAAAGCTTAACAACTCACAAACAAATATTAGATCACTTCTAAGCATAAACACAACAAAATTTCATTGTTTCTACTCATTTCAACTCAATACTAAGGCTTCACAGAGCCAAATTTTAAAGAGGAATCCATGGGGTTATACCTCTTGTAGTCTTTCTTCTAGCTTGAATCTCTTCTTCCTCTCTATCTAGCTTGAGCCTCCTTCACCGCTGTGATGTTGTTTTCTCCCTTTCTCTTGGCAGACAAAGTGTGTTGAGAGGCAAAGAAAGAGATCAGGGAATCAAGATGGAATAGTGGGGTTTATATAGGGTCCAAAACCATAGGTAGAAGACCAATGATTGGTTGAGGGCAAAATGGTAAAAGCTTGCATATAAAGTGTTTCTCAGCAAAGTCTTTTGGAATGAAATGGTTCACCTTGTATCATGGACCAAGGCTAGAAATGCTAACTTTAAATACTTTGGGGTTGAAAATGAATTTTCTCAAAATGCTATTTGGATGAACACTTGTTTAAAATCTTTTTGAATTCTCCAGATATCACTCAGATAAATTTCTCGATTTAAATCTTGGTACGCGAAGTACCCGAAAACTTAGGAATTTTCGAATAGAATCAAATTTTGGTGTCGAATTAATTTAAAATGTGCCGAAAATATTTTATTCAAACACCAATTGATCGCAAAAAAATTTAATGGAGTGAAAAAGGTTATTTTGGGATTTCTTAATACCGGATTTATAAAATGAAATTTTGAGTTGTTACATAGGTATATTCAAGATGACTAGGTAACGGCTTAAGCTCACTTTCTACTTTTTCGTTTTGTTCTATTCCGCTACTACCTAAACATTCATTGTCATCATCTGTTCTATCTTTCTTATCCTCGTCACTATCATGGAACACGGTTTAGTTGTTGTCAACGGCATTTTCCAGACCCTTACCAAGAGATCTCCTATCATCACGAGATTCGTTGCTGTGCAACTCATCGCAAGCCTTGATGCCATGATTGACCAGGTTCATACTAATATGCATCTCGTTCACGACATGTTCATCATCTTTTGTATCGGTGTTCGCTGATCGGCCATTCAAGGTTTGTGCTCGGGTCATTATCAACGGTGAGATCATGTAAATAGTCCTGGTCTCCATCCAGATCATCAATGTAAAAACACACATCGTCTCCCTCTAGAGGATATCTTTTCAATTTCGTGACATCAAAACTTGCAGATTCATCCCCAACTCGGATTATAACTTTCCCACTTCCTACATCTATCAAGGCTCTACTCGTATCTATGAATGGTCTCCCAAGTATAAAGGGTACTTTGGCGTCAGGGTCTATGTCCAAGATAAGAAAATCAATTGGAAATATGAATTTATCGACCCTCACCAGCACATCTTCCACAATGCCCCTAGGATACTGAGCGGATCGGTCGGCGAGCTGGATGCAAATCCGGGTAAGCTTAAGAGTTCCTAAATACAATTTTTTGTAAAGACCATAGAGCATTAGGTTAATACTGGCTCCTAGATCGGCCAAGGCTTTATTGAATTTGGACCCTCCGATATTGCACGGAATTGTGAAACTGTCAGGGTCCTTGAGCTTTTGAGGCATCTCTTTATGTACTAAAGCAGAACATTCCTCCCAAAGTACTATTGTAACACCCCCAAATTTCAAGATATTTAAAACCTATAAAATAAAGGTTAATATCTTAGTAATTCCCAAACAGAGCATAAACTAGTCATAGTAGTCGGGGTGCTATGCCACATCTGAGATGGAGAACTCAGATGCACAGGCTAAACTATATATCACAACATAAACTTGTAATTAATATCTCAAATACAACTCAAGGCACACAGACCACTTCACTAAAACTAGCGCTATCTAACTAAGTCCACGATACCAACTAGCGCGCTCCGAAGCTATTCATCTGTACCTGAAAGCCAAATAAGATTTGTTCAGCAAATAATGATGGTAACCCACTCCAACACGTTAAGTACAATATAGGTAGATATAAGAAACTCATTTTGAAACTAGAATACATATATACTTACGAAACTCTAATTTAATTCCGAGAATAGACTCAATCAAGCAATAGCAGATATATTCAATACAGTTAACATAATGATTCTAGCATGCATCATAAGGTCACAAGACTACACAATACCAACCATATCAATATCCAGTTATCATCACAGTCAAACAATCAACAATAAGACACGTATTGGTGTACACACATATGGTGGTGCCACAGGACCATTCACATGACCCGAACCTTGAGTTCCATTGCCAAGGGGTCAGTGCATATAGCCCTGACATGGCCCTACAGCACTTTAACTTGTACCACAGCACAAGGAGATTGATCGCAACCAATCAATGAACCGCAGTTCATTTGTATCATAAGAGTTTGATCACAACCAAACTATGGACCGCAGCCCTATTATCAAATATGATTGATTGCAACCAGATTATGGACCGCAACCCTATATATATATATATATATATATATATATATATATATATATATATATATATATATATATATATAACAGCCAATTGTTCTCAACCAATCCAACTTCCTGTATAGCCGACCAATCGCAACCGGTCGGGTTAATACATGATGGTTCTCAACCCATCAGATAGTCATTACAGCCAATTAATCGCAACCAAATGGGGTATCATGCACAAATAACACAGAAGCCAAACAACATGTAACCCACATTAACACATAACGAGGGAGAATCCTCGGGGAACACATATCCTAATATAACTCATATGTAGCAAACCACATTAAACCACTCGTGACACTCCTAAGGGTTCATGAACCTTCCTCCTAGGCCAATGGGATACTAATTCGACTAGCATGCAATACACGAGACTCTTTTATCCTAAGAATGGTACCCGATACATCAAACTGGACTCACACACGACAAACAGGGTACAACGGGACACAACGGGACACGGGAAAACATCGCGACCTGCACCAAGACTCCAGCGGGTGCCCGGCGGGCTACAAACCAGCGGGTACTCGGCGGGCAGTCGCTTGCCCGTCGGCTGCCCGCTGGGAACTGGGCAAGGGGTAGCGGGTAGGTGGCGGGCACCCCTACCCCCACCTACCCCCCACTGACTCATATGTAATATTTTGGTCCCAAGATCCTTCGTGAAACTCGAAACCATGTCCAGACATATTCAAACACAAACGACGACACCACGTATTCAAGTAACGGATTTAAACCAAGAACCACACCATATACATCCTAACACGACTCCTAAACATGCCACGACTCAACACCCAAACATGCAAACTCCCACAACATACCAAGAATAACATAATACAAAATCCACGGTATTACCCTAGGGCTCTAGACATAATTGAAACACAAGACCGTTTATATAATTTATCATAGAATCAAGAACATCAAGATTATCACATAAGTATCAAGAATAACACATAGATATCAAGATTATCTCATAAACACCATATAAACCTTAGGCAAAGCTTTATCAAGACTCGAGCACAGAATCATATATCAAAGGAGCGAATGAAGAAGATATAGCGAGGAAAATAGGTTTTGTTGAGACATGGGTTACCTCTTTGCCTTAATTAGAATCCTTGGCTACTAAGGTTCTTTTTCTAAGATCTCCTCCTCGTGGGTTCTCCTACGCTTGGTGACAGGGGAGTTCCTGGGGATTCTTGTGTGGTAGAATCAATTGTGGTGGGATTTCTAGGTGCCTCCTAAGTCCTTATATATATATTTAGGTGTCCTAACTAGGGCCTGAATAGTAAGGATTCACTTATTCTATTCCTTATAGGACTAATGGTTTAGTTTAAGGATAAGGGTCAATGATCCATGGTGGGGCCCCCTTAATTTATTAAGGAGATCCTAACCCAATCAGATCCGTTTTTTAATTATTATTTATGGTAAACAATTAAATAATTAGTCCGGGTTAGGGGCCGTAACATGGGGTGTTACACATTATAGCCAATTGATCGCAACCAATTGGGTTATCATGCACAACAACATAGACGCCAAACACATGCAACCCACATTAACACATAATGAGGGGGAATCATCGGGGAACACTTAACCCAACATAACTCATACGTAACAAACTACCTTAACCCACCCATGGCACTCCTACGGGATCATACATCTTCCTCCTAGGCCAACGGGATACCAATTCAACTAGCATGCAATACACAAGACTCTTTTATCATAAGAACGGTACCCGATACGTCAAACTAGACTCACACACGACAAACGGGGTACAACGAGACACGGTAAAACATCAAACGGGTAAAAACACCACGAACCACGCTGGGATTCCAGCGGGTAGGTGGCGGGTGGAGGACCACCCGCCAAACACGCGTCGGCGGCGGGTACTATTCCAGCGGGTGGCCGGCGGGCAGCCCACCGCCCGTCAGCTACCCGCAGGAACAGTAAAGGCGGGCAGCGGGTAGGTGGCGGGAGGTCAGTCCCCCCTACCCCCCACTGATACACAGGCAACTTTATGGTCCCAGGATCCCTCGTGAAACCCGACACCATGTCCAAACACATTCAAACACATAATGACAACACCACATATTTAATTAACGGAATTAAACCAAGAATCACACTAAATACATCCTAACACGATCCCTAAACATGCCAAGACTCAACACCCGATCATGCAAAATCCCACCCAAACAAACCAAGAATGACATGATACGAAATCCACGTTATTACCCTAGGGCTCTAGACACAATCAAAATACAAGATCATTCATATAATTTATTATAGTATCAAGAACATCAAGATCATCACATAAGCATCAAGATTATCACATAAACACAATATAAATCCTAGGCAAAGCTCTATCAAGACTCAAGCACATAATCCTATATCAAAGGAGCCAATGAATAAGATATAGTGAGGAAAATAGGTTTTGTTGAGACATGGGTTACCTCTTAGCCTTAATTAATCCTCCCTTGGCTATTAAGGTTCTTCCCTAAGATTTCTATCCGATTGATCTCCCTAGGCTTGGTGGTGGGGAATCTCTTGGGAATAATTTCATGTAATATAACTATGGGTGGTGAGGGTTCTAATTGCCTTCTAATGCCCCATTTATAGAGTCAGGAATCCTAATCAGAATCTGAGTAGTAAAGGCCTACTTTCTTTATTCCTAACAGATATATAGGTCTATGATTCCTAATTAGAATCTGACTAGTAAAAGGTCTACTCTCTTTATTCCTAATAGGCTTAAGACTCTAGTTTCGGCAAGGGTTCACGATCCATAGTGGACCACATTAATTAATTAAAGGGAATCCTACCCAAATTAAATCCTTTTTAATTATCATTAACGGAATTAATTAAATAATTAATCCAGGATTAAAGGTCGTAACACGGGGTGTTACAACTATGGTAGCTGTTTCTTCTAACCTTTTTTGTTACACAACAATTCCTTAAGAAACTTCGCATACCGAGCCATTTCTCCAAGTGCATCTACAAATGGTATTTCAATATACAATTGTTGTAGCATCTCGAGGAACTTCCCATACTTGGCATTATCAATGTCGCTTTGAAACCTCTGAGGAAATGGGACCTTAGGTTTCTGGGTAGCGGGAGCTTCAGTTGCTATCTCTTTTCCCTTCTTGGAAGGTTGGTCTACTTGCAAGGGTATAGGCTCTTCTTCTTCGCCCTCGTCCTTTGATTCTTCTCCATCGGAAGGTGGAACATCCTTAGATGTGCAAGGGACGTCATCCCTTAGGGGGTCAATGTGTTTGGTCTTTGTCTCATGGAGTGGCTTTCCACTCCTTAGTGTGACAACATGAACTTCCATCTGATTCCTCTTATTGACATCCTCGATCATCCAAGCTAATGTAGCTTCTATTTTCTTCATCGGTTCTAGAGTTTCTTCTCGATAGGCAACAGTTTCGTCTTTTACTTCCTTTTTAATTGCAGTTCTTAGGTCCGCCATGTCTTCTCTGGCTTAAATTCGTTAACTTTCCTATCGAGGCAATCATATTCTTCTATGGGCAGTGACAAAGATTGAACAGCGTAGCATGGTTCATTCCAACAAGTATAATTACTTGGGGGGTCAATGGTGTGATCCTCATATTGCCAAGAGGCGTCTAGATGGAATGAATTCTCCATTGGGTATGCAGGCTGGAATAGGTGTGCATCATTAACGTGTACCCTTTCTAATTGATCGTGCAGGGGTGGATAGTTGTAAGAAGGTGAGGGGTACCGTTTCATCATTGTGAGGTAAGGAAGATGACCAAGAATCTTCCTGATAGAGCGGGTACTCATGAAGCTCATCATACCTATGGGGTTATGGATGTAACACCTCTGATTTTCATGCCATTTTAAACTTAAATATGCAAGATTATCTAACCACAAACATAAGTAAAACACAGCGGAAGTGTATATATATAAAGCCATAAAAAGGGAGTGCTATGCCACGCTCACACCATTGTGAACGCACAGGCAAAAACCATCAATAACAATCTAACGTATTGTTCAACATAAGGGGCAGACAGGCCCAAAACACAACTAAAAACTGTCTGGGAAACTAAACTAGCCATCTCTAACGCGCTCGCCGACTACTCAGGACCTGAAAAGCACATAAATAAATGGGACGACGCCCGGTCAGCGAATAATCCTAGAAACCCATCAATACGCGTTAAGTATCATACATAGATAGTATATACAAAATCATTTTCAAAACGGAATACTATCACCCGACATGCTCAACAAATGAGGATAAAGAAACACACCTCGGCAACACATGCCTTCGTGACATCACACATCACGAATAGAGAAACACACATTGGTAACACATGCCTTCGTTACATCACACATCACGAATTCAATAATCCTTCCTTATGCCCGGTTCCAACCTTATGGCTACCCCCAACCTTATAACCAGTTCCAACCTTTACCTCCAGGACCCCTGTACTCCAAAGTCTAATCTTATGCCTCCGAGGACCGTCGTCCCCACTCCGACAATCTCCAACAGAACCACCGATTTCATAGTGCACGAGGGTACCGTTCACACACACGGCCGAAGCCACCCAAGAACACGTGAACGTTACACACAGGTCACAAACTCCATAATCACATCATGGCCACCATGAGGACCACTGCCGTACCTTGGTGACTAATGTCCCATACCATTAATCATGCAATCCAGGTACAGCCACACACACCACACCATCATAGGAATCAAACAATGGATCACAACAAAGATATGTAACCATACTCAATAAGGAAAGGATCACAATCCGACAACAACGATGATCAACACAAGTTATCATCCACAATAGGAAAGAACAAACCACACACACTAGCATTTCAACACCGAACTAGCATGCTTATAAAACGGGTAAACACAACATAGTTCCAAAGAACACATAAGACTCATCATGGTTCAACGAATCACAAGGTTGAACACTTAGCACGATTCAAGACACCAAATCCTACATGGATTCCTACCACATAGTTCTAGACATACGAAACATCAAGAAGACACTCAAAATCCCAACAAAAGAACATCGGGAAGTTAAAACATCAACTACCGAGTCAAAAGAGTCACGGGGAACAAATCTCCACACAAACCACCATTGTACCCTGCGGGTGGAGCCACAGGTGGACCCCCACCCGTGGTTCCGCCCGCGGGAACCAAGTTCCACGAGCCATGTACCCCGCGGGTGGGGCGGCGGGTGGAGCTCTACCCACCGTTCCGCCCGCGGGTACACTACCCTGTACCAAAATATCCCTTCGGGGATTTTCAACACCAAGCTCAAATTCAAGTCCAAAACACCCAAAATCTCACAAAATACAACAATATGACTTGAATCAAAGGAATAGCCAAGCAATTGCATACAAGAATCCTAATAACAAGCTCTAGATATGCATTCCCACAAGGCAATGCATCAAATCTCACATTTCATAGCAAAAATCACATGTAGAAGTCAAGAAATCATCATATAGGTAAGAAAATAGATTTTGTAAAGCATGGGTTACCTCTTGTAGCTTAAACCTTCACTTTTTACACTTTAACAAGCTTCTAACAAGGCTCTCCTTCAACACCAACTTCAAGAACACACCACAAGACCATAAAGATTTCATCTTTAGAAAAAGATACATTTAAAAGCACTAAAACACTAAAGGACCAAAGATCTTACCCTCCTAGATGCTCAAGAGTAGGAAAGGTGGAATCTTGGAGACCAACTTTGAAGATCTTGGAATGCCCAAACTTGGCTTGAAGAAGAAGCTAGCTAAATTCTAGAGAGAAGGATGAGCTTTTGTTTTGAGAGTGTTAGGGAAAGAATGAAAGATAGCCCTAGGTTAGCTTGGGATACAATCATGAGGTGAAATGTCTTCATTACCCTTACTAAGATGGAAAAGTGTAAGGGGACAAGGGAACTATTCACAAAGCTTAGAGTACAACTCATTGACTTGGGTTGACTAGTCAATTACTAGTCCTCGACTATTGAATTTTCAGGAATTTAAAGAATAAATTACCAATTAGATTAGGATTAATTACTTAATTAATCCCTAAATAGAAATTGGATTTACGGGGTGTCACAATGGAAATACATCTTCTTTGTTTTTTTTTTTTTTTGGTACTTTTCCAGAAATTAACTAAACTAATTTACGAAGAATAAAACACTTAGTAACAGGAACAATTATACTTCACTAATCAAAAAACAAGTAAAGACAAATAAAGAAAACAAACTCAATGCGAAAAACAAGATAAGAGAAAACTAAATCTTTTGCAAAGACACTTCTTAAGTCAACACAAGAGGCACTTTACACAACACCGATTGCCATCCCCGGCAACAGTGCCATTTTGATGGGATGCTTTTTGATTACGGTTCTCTCTTTAATGCGTCGTCAAAAAAATAGGTGTGCAATGGTCGTGTAGGTAACGGGTAATGGTATAAAACGGGGATGAGAACCACCACGAGTATCGTTCGCGTGGATGATAAATTTGGAGATTGTAAGGTGTCGGCGTTTACCCAAGAATATCTTAAACAAATGATGGTTATTATTCAAAAGAAAGGGAGGTGGTCATGCGAGTGACTTAGCAAACAAGTGCAAAGTAATTCGTAAATTGACAATAGGGAGATGGGAGGTTGGGTGGTGTATTTTGCGCACATGTAGTGGCTTTCAATAATTGGATTAAAGTGGAAGTGATTTGTGTGGCTCTTGAGGTTCGATGGTAATATTAGGCATATGTCTAAGCCTCTAACTCAAAACCATTTTGGCCTCGGCATTTAATCAAACACATTCCATACGTTCCTTCCCGGGGCTTGCCCTCTCGAATCAAAGGGCGGGGAATGCGGATGACAAAGACTACGATTAGTTATGATCTCTCATCAACTGATCTCTCTCAAACACCCTCACTCAATGTGGCCACCAAGGAGTGAGGAGCAACAACAATATCATCCATAACAAAAGCATATGCACAAATCACAACTCAAATTCCGAGCAATTTAAGATCCTAATACATGCATGCAAAATACACTTCCAACCTCACAAGATTTAGCCACACATCATAGATCCAAGAGATACAATAGAAGAAATTAAGCTAGCACAATCCATGAAATTGAAACACAATTCTAGAAATTAAATATGGGAGAAAGGATTGTTACCAACAAGTAATCTCTAGTTGCATCTATTTCCTTCAATTTGGCGTGAAAATCTTCACAAATCTCCAATAGATCTAAAACTCTAAGCTCTTAAAATATTTCTCTCTCTAAAATTAGAAATTGTCAAGTGTATAATGTGGAACGATGGAGAGAAGTCTCGCCTATAACCCCTAAGGGTAGTTCGGCATCCCATTTACGCTGCGCTCACGGTGTGACGCGGGCGTAAATAGAGAATAACTAATCCCGCGCGCACTCTTCCCGAGCTGCCTAGTCACGCCACTCCTTACATCGTGAGGATGGGGTGGGGGACCTTACGCTGGCCATTGGGGCGTGAGGTTGGTTACGCAACCCGTCACGCCATGACGGGCTCATAATAGCAGCTGTTGTTGCGTTTGTTCGCCAGATTTGACTGCTTCGAAATCCATGTTAGCTTCCATGGTCTTCACCAATATTGTAGCTTTTCAAATTGCCTTTCTTATGTCGCTTGAATCGCCTTGATCGGACACCCCTAGCCTTAGATATGTTCCCGACTCTAAAATGCAGCCGAAATGTCCCGATTTTGTCAATACTTTGCTGTTTTCACAAATGCAAACCCAATTATTCCTTATATCTCATTTTAATCAAAACAAACTATTTTAAGCACACAATATACTCAAAGGGCTTTGATTTATCAAAATATAGCTCCTAATTACCCTATAAAAATGACACAATTTAACACTTATCAGTAATATTTATTTCATGCCCGAGAAGTATATATACTCTAAAAGTGTTTGTGAGCGCAAGTTATTTTAGGACCCAAATTGTTATGAATGCAAAGTGATTTTACTTTTCTAAATTTCCTTGCTAATTTTACTACTCGAAGTGACTATTCGGAAAGTTTACTTCTCTAAGCTTACCCGTCTAAGCTTAACTTTCTAATCTTACTTCTTGAAATTTTACTTTTCGAATGAAGTTTACTTCCCGGACTTTATTTTCCAAAGGAAGTTTACTTCTTGGAGTTACTTCTCTCAGTTTGCATGTTTATTTATGGAAATTTTTCTCATGCATGCAACATGACTCTCGTATACAATTGACTAGTTGCTAATTCAAAATTGAATTATTATTTGTTCCATAAATCCTATATCAATCTCAGAAGGATTGAAATTATCAACAAATCATGATAATCCTCTTTTGACTAAATTTAAGATGTCAAAGTGACGAATTCTTCTCCGAATATAGCTTTGTGCAATTCTGTGTTATTTAAGGAGTGGTATACCCCCCCTTATAAGAATGATCTTTGATTTATGTCATTCATGATGTAATTGGCACTAGTACAGAAACAGTCATTCGCGTCCAAAGTTAAAGCTAATACGCGTCCAAAGTTGCTTGGACGCGTATGTGGGAGACGCTGATTGTATGAACAATCAGCGTTCAAAGTAACTTTGGACGCGCAAAACTACAATATGCGTCCAAAGTTGAGGAACATTAGACGCGTATTGTATTTTTTTTAGTAAAAAAACAACTTTGAACTTTGGACTTTTATTTTTTAAAAAAAATACGCGTCCAAAGTTCTTGAACTTTGAATGCGTATTATAATTTTTTTTTATTTTATATTTATTGCGATGATATTCGGCAAGAAGAGACCAGATTACATACGAAATCAATCATTCTAACCAGCTAGCAAGCAAGCAAAGGATCAGGCATAACATGATCCCACATAGTATAAATTAGGACACACATCACATAATGTGTTGTGTTCTTTCTTCTTCTTCTTCTTTTTTTTTTTTTTTTTTTCATTTTTTGTGGACAGAAAAATCTGGTATGACTCATATTTTCTATCAAAGCTATATACATGTTAAGTCACAGAATGTTAAATGGCTTACATGCATTTTCCATTGAAATGATGGGGCTTTTGGTTCTTCAATATAATTCATGCAAATTATAGAGCGGTGGAAAACCGCAGTCATCGCAGGTGTGGGTGAGGCCTGACAACGTTCAATACGCCTCTTGCAGTCACCTGTTGAGATCGCACAACAAACAAAGTTCAGATTTTGTTGAAGAAGATGAAACTCTAAGTGATAGAAACGGCTCTGCATGGGATATTTACCTCGAAGAAAGAATTGAAGTTGAGGCGCAAAAGAAAACGCCTCAGGAATGGCGTTCTTTGGCTCCCGGCAAGCCTACTACTTCGCAGTATAGTGTATAAGGAGTTTGATTTTTTGTTAAATTGCTGATGAATTTCAGCAAGAAATGTGTGGTGTCAGAAAAAAAAAAAAAAAAAAAAAAAAACTAGGCGCATGGTATAATAATTACATGAAAATGTGATACATGACCATTGATAAAGAATGTGCAAGTACATGTTTCACAATCATGTTATTTGAGCCAAGTCATACCTGGGCGATATGCTGTAGCTCATCAGTATTTCCACTGTCCTCTTGATTCTACATCTTCCAGCAAAATTGCAAACAATGTTTCATTATGCCATCCAGAATCCTCGAGACAGAACCAATATCCAAGAAAGATTGTGAAATTAATGGAGCCAAGTACCTACAAGTCAATCATGTTCATATAGTGGATGCGGTGAGCATTAAACTAAAATCAGAATTCACTACATCAAACACGTAAAACTATTTGTGTAAGTGGGTTTTAGTATGAAACACATTATAAGCATATTAAATTTGCCCCATAAACTTAAGCTTTCCTCTTTCCTTACTCTTGATGGAAGCCCACAAGTTCTGTGAAATCATGGGAATTCTGAATGAGACTGCAAAACATTCCACTGAGATTCTATATTGTCCACCTGGGAAATTAAAGAAATGTCAAATAGTCATGCTTTAAGTCGAAGCATTTTTCTAGCTCCATCTGTGTCCGCTTAAGTCGAAGCAAAGTACTGGAAAATTTGTTGAAAATTTATATAGTAATGGCGATTAATGTTTCAGATGGACTACCATGAAAGCTTAAATAATATTTGGAGTTGTGGAGTTATAAATATTATTTTAGTTTGGTAGAAAGTAAGTTGGGAAAAATGTTTTGGAACCGAAGTTTAATGATTCGTTGGTGTTAACGAATCGTTAGTTTTAAACGAATCAATGCTTTCGGTGTCCATCAAATCGACGGGCATCTGCTTTGTTGATTTGGTGTGGTTGTGCATGCAGTATGCATGGAATGTATATGTGTATCATTTTTTACTCTTTGCATGGTCACATGCACTCAAGTAAACCAACCATAGGTATATGGACAAATAGAAGCCATAAGATTTGAGTAGATTAACGGATTAGATTTAAGGGAATAAAAATATTTGAGAATCCTAATTAATGAGAAGAGGGGCAGTTAAGACAATATACCCTAATCCTAATTACGGTTAAGAATTAGCATTTGATATGGATCCTAAATTAAAGAATAATAATTATGGAAGGATTAAACCACATAATATATGCCGCCACCACCCACGAACGGCAATACAACTTACGCCAAACAAATTACAAGAACGAAATTCGGGCGAAGCAAATGGTGAGCACTCATGGACACGAATACGGAGTATGTGCCGCCTAAAGTACTAGGTAAACACCCAGAATCCATTGTTAATTTGTTCTAGATCCAGTTCGTAGGCAGTGTGTTATTGATTGACGGTCTGTGCATCATTATATATGAATGATTAAATAGAAATCATGTATTTTCAAAAAAAAAAAGAAGAAATCATGTCAATTGGATACAAACAAATTAGTGCACAAGTAGGAAGATAACAGTGATTGGAAAACCTAAGTATGATATTCAGAATGAGAAAGTGTTAAGGGATGGCAATCCTTCGATTATGCAAACACACGCACACAGAATTATGGTGCAAATACCCTAATAACTATTTAGATTAATAGTGTTTGCACGGTCATGCATGTCACAAAATATGCAACACAATTCTAAACAATTTCTGGACTTTGTTGGAATGTATGTATACGTGTGCGCACCAACCGGCTAGACAACCGGTCTCGGGCTTACCAGTCAATATCTACTCCTCTTCCTTCCACTTAGTCATGTTTTTTTATCTAGTTAGGTCTATTTTGGACGCTGCATGTAATGCGCACACATCTACTTAATACTGTGCTCACATTAGTTATTATTGCTACTTCAATTGCGCACATGCCTACTCTACAAGTCTGCAATGTGTGCGCACGACCTTCTACCCATATTATGTTTAGTTGTTCGTAGAACTGGCCACATGCCTTCTTTAAATTATGCAAACACGCATTTTTTGCCTATGAATGTTTGGTTCGCTTTGTGTGGTATTTGTATCGTTGTTACTTATTGTTTCTACTTAATTTGATTCATTCTGCATGTTTGCACATTAATATCGTAATGTGTGCGCAGGGTATTTACTCAGGGTGTGCTTATACTGAATGGGATGGTTCTATCTGCACCCATGTGTGCACATTCATATCTTACTGTGTGTACATGCAATTTACTCATGCTTTGCTTTTAATGATTTCGTTGCTCTATCTCCGCCCATGTGTGGATATTCATATGGTACTGTGTGCGCATGCGATTTGCTCGGGTTTGATTATTCTCAATTCTAATAACTAAATTGTGTTGTGCGTTCCGTTGTATTCTAATCTCCAGCATGTGTGCACATATACATTGTCGTGTGTGCGCATAGTTGTGATGTTGCTTATTTTGTGTCATGGTCTAAATTATTTAATATTCCTTGCGCTGACAGTTTGGTTGTAACGTTGTTACTACTGTGTGCGCACGCATTTTGTTATGGAGGCTTGGAGTCTTTGATGTGAACATGTTTATTGTACTGTGATTGTATGCACATATATGGAACCGTGTGCACACATAACTGGTACTGTGTGCGCAGTTATGTATTCTACATTGTACGCACATGTGGTCTTTATTTTTTATTGAACCAAGTGCTATTCATTCAAAGTTTGCTTCATAAAAATAATCAAATCCGGGTCATAATTGTAGACAAAATGGCATTTTTCATTGTATTTGAAAGAGTCTGATGGTACTATTGGTGTCATTTTTATACAGCAATGAGGTTTAACAAAATTAAACTTACGGTGCGGCAGTGTCTTACGGTGCGGCGATTTCTTACGGTGCGGCAACACCAATAGTTCAACAAATATGCACCATCAACGTTAGGAAATACACCACAAAAAACAGAGTAAACAGAGCCCTGCATCACCAAACACACACCATTAGGTGTGAGTAAAAACACCATACACGGTTCAGAAATACACCATTGGGGGTGGTGAGTTATATGGTGTATTTTTTTTAGTCTGTTGTGTATTCTGTGATGTTTTATTGCATTTCATTGTGGTGTGTTTTTCTAACACTGTTGGTGCATATTGTTAACACTGTTGGTGTATTCTGGAATTCCGCCGCACCGTCGCACGGGAAGACCCCGCCGCATTTGAACTTTATTCCCTCTTTCTCTCTCTCTCTCTCTCTCTCTCTCTCTCTCTCTCTCTCTCTCTCTCTCTCTATATATATATATATATATATATATATATATATATATATATATGTATTGATATTATTTATTTAATTATATTGTATGCATATGAAAGTTCATACTTTGTTAGTTACGTATATATTATACGTAATTATCTTTTCACATGTGTGATATATATATATATTAGATAAGATATATCTATTGGAAGTTAAGTTTTAAATTTAAATAATTAACTTCCATGTAAACTTCTCCAAACTGATTTTTACATCTATAAAATCTGGAGAATCATCTGAAAAACACACATGCAATAAACTTGCATAAAACTGAGAAATTTCACAGTATTTCATTTCAACAGGAAATTCTCAAACAAAGCAACTTGAGAATTTCATTCATCTTCTTGTATCTCATAAGATTAAATCTTGAACCTTGTTGCTTTTATAGAGGGAGATTTAAAGCTTATAGGAAAGTGATTACACGCCTGAAGATATCAAATGATCCACTTTTTGTTCCCTGTTGTATTCTTTATTATTGTTGTATCTCAAATGTATTACAGATTATAAGCCCATTATCCAACAATCTATAAGCTTGAAATTATAAATCTGTGATCATTGGTCTTGCCTTGAAAGTTTTGAAGGCAAGATGTCAGGTGTGAAAGAACAGTTTCCCATTACGGTAATATTTTCGGAATGAGATTTCGAATATGGTGATGGGAGGATGACATAAATCACTTTTGTCTTTGTCTTTGTTTATGTACAAGAAGATTTCTGTGTAGATGTTTGCATGGTGTTCATGGTAGGTCGTGTGCATGCCATACATATGGATTTGGTCCATGTTATGCAGTCTGTTTTCATCTTCACAAAAATCATGGGGTATCAAGTTATGCGAAAATGATTAGTGAGATGTGAAAATGATTTTATATAAATAAATCATTTATTAGCAATGATTTAATTGGCATGAGAAGATGTATACTTCCCTAGAGTGGGTGTGCGGTTTCAGTGTATCTAAGGCCGGAAGTGATGATCATTAAAGCAAATACAAGTTACAGGATGAAATCGGTACAATAATTTTTATTTGTTTCGGCCTCGGCGTGAATATTGTAAGTTTTATTTATTTATTAGCTAAGTTCTGGATTATGTCTAGAAGATTTGCAAAATCTGTTGAGTTTTGCAAAGCTTGTTAAATACAAGGATATGGTTATGCATGTGTATAAATATTTTAATATTGAGACTTTGTCTCGGTTGCATGCATAGTATACAAAGATACATATATAATATGTTGGAGCTTGAGGTGCTGTAAATCTGCCAAAATTTGAATTAATTTGGTGTTATCAATTTGTTGTTTTCTTATGCATGGTTACAATGTTTAATGATTGTAAGTTGGAAATAATTTCAATGTCATGCATGAAATTATTGATTATTTTAGCACACAGGTAATTTTATCCTTGTGAAAGTCTGAAATATGTTATATATATTTCTATTTAAGGGAGAAAGCCTTTGGAAATATTCTGTGAATTTTCTGATAAAGGGAGAAAGCCTTGAAAATATACTGGTATATTTCTGATGAACGGATATGATGTAGAAAGTTTTATGCATGAGGTATGCATAATGAAATTCATAAAATTTATGAATGTATTTAACACAAAGTTTCTCATTTTGAGAATGTGTTAAAATTTTGAAAGCCAAAAAGTTTACTAGTTTATCTAGTATGGAAATTGACAGTGAAAAGAATTTCAAATTTAAATCATGGATTATGATTTAAGTTGGTATGATTCTTCAATTTAGAAGAAACATAAAAAGTTAAAAGCTTTAAATAAAAAATGGTTTCTTCTCCAAAGTGAATGGATATTCTTGAATGGAGGAGGTTTATCAGTATATGATTTCTCGAAAGTAGACGGTATTCCAAATGGAGGAGGTTTAATTTTTTATTTAAGGAATCACTCACTGTTAATGAGTTCAACATGGTGATTGAAATTCTTGGTCATGAAATTTACAGGAAATAAATATTTATTGACTAAGAACCTATAAAGTGAGTTCCGGTATAATCAATCAAATATTTTATTTCACAGGTTCGTTGATAGAATATTAAAATTCTATCTATCATCATGTTCTGTTGGCTAAGTGGATGAGATTAAAAGGAATTTTGATATACTTGAATAAAATCATTAATTATGGTTTACTATGTTTAATAGAAATTTCCATCCTGAAAAGATTTTCTAATGCCAGTTGAATGTCTAATCATGAAACTTGTTCCTCAATTAGTAGATGGATATTTCTGCTTTGAGGAGGTGTTGTTTTATGATTTCTAAAGGCAAAGTTACCTTTTCAACTACGGCATCTGAATTTCTTACGTTGGCTTTGACATGCAAGAAGTTGATTGGCTAAGGAATTTGATTATTTAGATTCCGGTTTGGCCAAAACCGATGTCACCAGTTTTAGTAAATTGTGACAGCGCTACTACACTGGCCAAAGCATATAACAATAAGTTATAATGACAAGTTAAGACACATATGCATGAGATATAGCTATGTACGGGAGCTCCTAAGTTATGGTGTTGTAGCACAGGACTTTGTACGGTCCTGGTTTAATTTAACGGATCCGTTTGCAAGAGTCCTTGCAAGGGACATGGTACATCGGAATGGATATGGAAAGCCTAATTATTTAATTGCAAGTGAAGGAAAGCTCAACTCACGTCTAAGTTATTACATTAGACCTTGAGTGCAATGTAGATGAGTAGATGAGTAATTCATTTTGTGATTGCAAGCATCAAAAGTTTAAATTAAAATTTGTATCCCAAGAAAAGGTGATGCTTGGTTCTGTATTGTTGTAGGGATAAGTTTTTACACTTAACTAATCTTTTGAAAAAATGCAAGGTGCAGTGCATGATATAAAAGATTAGCCTTTCACTACTACAGAATTCACATTTAACGTCGGTTATTTATATAACCGATGTTAAAAGTTAATTAAATATATAAAATTAATTAAAAAACATTTAACGTCGGCTAATAGATAATAGCCGATGTTATAAGTAAAAATAAAAAAAAATAAAAAAAATGGTAAACATACAACGTCGTAGGTAATTAATTTTTATTTTTAATTTATATAATTAATCTACAACATCGGCTGTGCAAACGGCCGATGTTGTATAATTTAATATATTTTTTTAAAGGGAAAATTGCACTTTTGGTCCCTCAATTGTTCTCAGATATGCAATTTAGTCCCTCATTGTCAATTTTGTCAAATTAGTCCCTCAAATGTTTCAATTGTAGCCAATATAGTCCTGCGGTCAGATTTATCACTAACTAGTGTTAAAACCATGGCCAATTTAGTAATTTCACAACACTAAGTTTTACCTCCAATTTCTTCCCTCATCCGATTTGACCTACCCCAATTTCATGTTTGAATTTTGGAGTAAAAATGGGTGGTAATGGTGAGGATTTTGAATTTTGATGGCAGCCGAGTTCTGCTGACGTAAGTACTGTCGGCGATTACGCTCCTGCCGAGCCTGCTCCAGAAGCTTCTGTCGGTCGCGTTTCTTGGAGCTTCGGCTGCCTAAATCGACTTGCTTCCGCGGCGAAGGATCACCGCTGAGAAACGTTGTTTCACCTCTCTGCGGCGAACTCTTATCCTAATTTGACACGCAATTAGTTGAGAACCGATTCTGTAATTTGCGTTTGCCGTACACTGAGTTCCCGATCGGGAAAGGGAAACGAAAAAAGGCTCTCGACTATATAGACTGAATTGTTTGGTTTTCCTCTCTGCAGTCTTCAAAAGCCCCCTTCTGCATTATGTACCATGATGCAAAGTTCATTGCCTCAATTTCACATTTCCTGTGCGATTCTCTTGTCCATTATGTATCATATTTTGGGAATCCCCTTGTGCGTTATGTATCATATTTTGGGAAATCATCATCTCCCCGTCCTTCCTAAACAACAATCTGTGTTGGGAGATAAATTTAGGGAACAAGATAATAGGGGATTCTCAAGTCCATTTCCGGCGATTCTCAAATCTGTGTATTCCGTTGATTTTAAAAAAGAGAATCTGTGTAATTATCCATGGACTTGAGAATCGCCGGCGATTCTAAAAAGGTTATCTTTCTATGGGTTAGCAAAAACATAGTGTCTCCAGTCCTCCTCTATTGCCTTTGCACCGTATTCATTTCTTGAACATTTCTAGAATTTGCAGATTCTGGCTACCGGACCGCCGCCGATCGTCGGCGTTGCCGTGACCATGGATTCCGGTGTGAGGACAAATTTGAAAAGTCAATGCCGGATGAAGGAAGAAATTGGGGATAAAACTTAGTGTTGTGAAATTACCAAATTGTCCATGATTTTAACACTAGTTAGTGATAAATCTAACCGCAGGACTATATTGGCTACAATTGAAATATTTGAGGGACTAATTTTGCAAAATTGACAATAAGAGACTACATTGCATATCTGAGAACAATTGAAGGACCAAAAGTGCGATTTTTCATTTTTTAAAAGCCTACAACGTCGGCTATTCTATTAGCCGACGTTGTAGGTTGTTCAAAAAAAAATAAATTTTAATTTAATCTCCTCACGGCCAAAAGCTATTCACACTCCCACCAACGTCGTCCTTTTCTTCTCACCACAGCACAGCCACTGCACAGCACACCGCAGCCACCACCGCACCCCTTCCCACCGCCGCACCCCTTCCGCACCACCGCACCAAAGGTAAATCTCAGATCTGTCCTTGCTTTTGTTTTGTTTTTTTTTTTTTTCTTAAAATAAATCTCAGATCTGATCTAAGTACGTAGGTCCGTACCTGAGATGATGTTGTGGGTTGTAATGAGTAAAATTAGATATTTGTGCAGCAATTTCCCATGGTTCCTTCAAAGATCAACCGATTTGTTCTTTTAGCCATTCTGGTTAGTACTGTACATTCTTGCGTAACTCATTACGTTAAGCTCCTTTCGAATTTTGGGATAATATTCCTATTGCTAGTTGTTTCTTTAGAAGTTCTAGTTTGTGGCTGATTTTTGAGACTTGAATCCAGTGTTGAATTTGGACATGGCTCTGCCATTCTGGATTATTGGATATTATGTATTGCTTTCAGTTATGGTGCTTCTAGAATGTTTTATATAAAGCTTGATGGGCACATTTCTTTTGGATTCTTACACTCTGCTTTTTTCATAGCACATGCTCTTGTATATTCTTGTTTCATTGTTTTGGCAAAGAAATTGCTCTTAGTTTATCTACAGGGAGTCAGGGACTAATATTTAAAGGTTGATTTCAAAATGGTTGACAATTGAAAATTTTGTCATAAATTCTCTATCCGGTGGAAATAGATGCGAAGGCCTCTTTAATATGGCATCTACTGTTTCTCATCATTACTTATTTTGTTTTGATTTTAGATTATTCATGTTGTGCATGAAGTAGCGCATGAAGGAGGGTAATTCGTGTATTCTACAAATGATTTTTCTTAAGGTATCACTCTTTATCAACTTGTATTCTTTTTGCAGTTTGATGATGATTGTTGTAATTTGTGTGAAGAAGTTTGTGAAGCATACAGAAAAAGAGGCTGGGCGATCACAAACCTAGATATATGCTTGAAATTATATGCATTTACTCATTGTGCTATTCCAACAGCTTATAGAAATGGAAATAGTTTTTACAACTTGAACTGAGCCTTAATCCTGATCTAGCTGGGGGATAGTATATGGATCCTATGTCACCATTCTATATATGGGGGATAGTTTGAATTTCTACTTCAGGGCCAAATTTTTTCATTTTTTCACATTACTTCTCAGCTTCTAGAGTCATTCTTCTGATTCTTGCTTCTTATTTACTTGTAGAAGTGGAGTCACAGTACACTGGTGCCAGGATCGAGGGAGATGTTGTAACTTTAGATTTTGTGAAGAAAATGATGGAGGAATTCAAAAGCCAAAAGAACTTACATAGAAGGTGTTAATCGTGTTGTTATTATTATTATTATTATTATTATTATTATTATTATTATTTTATATAGTTCTCTGTTCTTTAAATTTAAAATCATTCTATATTTTCCCATCTAAAATCTTGGATTTTATTTGGTAGATATGCATACCAACTTGTGTTGCAGATAAGAGCATTGCCCTCACTTATTGACATCAATGTTCCTGAGGGGAAGCATTTCACTATATGTGGTGATGTACACGGTTAGGTAATAAAATTAATATGGATTGGTGCACTGGTTTGTCACAATACTTAACATCTTCATGCTCATCTTCCCATTAGGTTGCATTCTTCACTTCTGTCCTTTCTCTCATATTTGGCCTCTACCTTTGGCTAACTGACATGCATAGAATATTGCATGTGCACATGCATATAACCTCTGCCGGATCCTTAACAGCAAACAAGAATAAAGGAACTTTTATTTGTATTCATGCACCATGACATAATGATTTATAGTTGGCACAAGTGTCAAATAGGCCCATCAACTACTACGAAGTGCTCAATTCTCACCATGAACTAAATTAAGTGTCAAATAAGTCTATCTACCAGTTAAATTCATTCAATTGGCCTTTTTTACAGGTTACCAACAGGTTGCCTATTTAATTATTAAAATAAATAATTAAAATTTTTCAAAAAATAATTAAAAAAATTAAAAAAATTAAAAAATTAAAAAAAAAAAAAAAAAAAAAGAGAACAGCCACCGGCTGTCCTCGCCGGACAGCCATGGCTGTCTAATATGAGGTCCAGATCTGGACCTCAAAGGCCGGGAACGAGGGTGGCGACCATGGCCGCCCTCGTTCCATACGGCCATGGCTGTCCGGGGATGGCCATGGCCGTCCATGGCCATATGGAACGAGGGCGGCCTCGTTCCCGGCCTTTGAGGTCCAGATCTGGACCTCATATTAGACAGCCATGGCTGTCCGGTTGTCTTTGAAATGGCAGCCACCGGCTGTCCGGCGAGTGACTGTTCTTTTTTTTTTTTTTTTTGTTTAATTTTTTTTTAATTATTTATTTTAATAATTAATAGGCAACCTGTAAAAAAGGTCAATTGAACAAATTTAGCTGGTAAATAGATCTATTTGACACTTAATTTAGTTCAGGGTGGGAATTGAACATTTTGCAGTAGTAAATGGGCCTATTTGACACTTGTGCCTTTATAGTTTGTGACTACATCTTTAGTCTTGAAAAGCTGATATCTTTGTAGGCAATACTAAACTTGAAATGAATGTGTGCTTAAAGAGGTAGGAAAGAAATAAAGTAATATACTAATATAGTTGATGAGATGGCATATAAACATCAGGAGTTACACAAATTAATAAATATAGTCTTATTTGTGAAGAGAGGTATTTATAGGTGAAGAGAAATTCATCCGTTGGAGGGAGATGAAATTTCGAATCAATAATCAGCGGGTAATGACCAGTGGGCATGGGGCATTTAATTTGGCTGTACTATTTAGTCGATAATGATAAAAAGCACCATGGTTTTTTGTCCTTTTCACTGACAAGATGGTACCATTCATTTAATGCTCCTTGGTTTTTGTTAATATCATTCCTATGACACCTTTCGTCTAGGCTGATTGTCATTTGATGATTGTCCGAAGTTAGACCCTTCCATCTTTCGGTCTGAGTTGATCTCTCGTCTTTCTCTTTGTCTTCATGTCTTCAAGTAGACCTATCATGCTATCCTCAAACAAGATTCGTGTACTACATAGTGCGAATCATACGTTGAGTTACAACATCTTTCGTCTAAAGCGAAAGTTCCAAACCAAAAGGAAAATAGGGGTCTACAATCCTAGCAAGTTTGGTATCATCAAAATCTAATTACACTTGTTCCTAACAAAATTGATGGTAACCTGCTATCAGGTGAAATTGCATAAATTTGAAGTGTTCAATGGATTAATTGCACTTTGTTTGCATGAGTATGTCATTGATTAAATATTTAAATTTAGTTTGAAAATATTTAGGGATCAATATCAAGTTTGACATTTTGAGAAATATTTTAACTAAGCTACAAACCAAATAATTTGTTTTTGAAAAAGAGATCAGAGATCAGATCTATTTAGTCGATCAGTTAGTTAGTCGTTTGAACAACCACTTTAATAACACTTGTGTTGGTCTTGACAAGTAAAAGTTTAGAAGGGTGATGAGGGGGAGGGGGGTTCGAATAGATTTTTTAAAATTTTTGATGAAAAAGTTTGTTTGTAGCTTGTTTAATTGTTTTGCAAAATGTATGAAGATTGTGTGTGAGAATTGGTTGAATCGACAATGAAAGTAAAAGAGTAAAAGAGAAAAGAAGTGAAACAATATTTTTACAGTAGTTCAGAAACTCCCTACTTTATACTTTTCCTTAAAACAATGAAGGATTTAATTCTCCCAAAAGATTGAATCTCCAATCCTAAGGGTCTCTCACACTCCGACCCGAAAAACCGAAGAGAGTGTAACACCCCGTGTTATGACCTCTAATCCAAACTAATTATTTAATTATGTACCCAAAAAAGAGAATTAATTTCCATCAATTAACTTGGAAGGGTCCACCATAGACCATGGACCCTTATCCCTAAACTAAACCCATACTCCTATAAAAAATAGAATTAGTAGGCCCATATCATTCAGACCCTAATTAGGACACTTACGCTTATAAATAAGGACATAGGAAGCACCTAGAATTGACATCACAATAGATATCACCACACAAGAATCCCCAAGAATTCTCTTATCACCAACATAGGAGAAATCAAGAAGAGGAGATCTTAGAGAAAGACCCTTAATAGCCAAAGAATTTAATTAAGGCTAAGAGGTAACTCATGTCTCAACAAAACCTATTTTCTTTGCTATAATCTCCTTTTTTGGCTCATTCTCTATGCTTGTGTCTTGATAAATCGTTTATGATGATGATGATATGATCTTGATGATTGATGAGATGATTTTATGTGTTGATCTTGATAATCTTGATGATTATAAGAGAATCTTGATGATTGTGTGATGTTCTTGATAAATCTTGATGTTCTTGATTTTAAATATAAAAATCATGATTTGAATATGGTTAGAGCCCTAGGATGGATTGTGAATTTCGTATTATGATATCCTTGGTATATTTGGGTGGAATTTCGCATGTTCGGGTGTTATTTATGTTTAGAAGTCATGTTAGCATATGTTCAATATGATTCTTGGTTTTGATCCATTATTTGACTACATGGTGTCGTCATTTGTGTTTAAAAGTATCTAAACATGGTTTCGGGCTCCACAAGAGATCCCGGGACCAAAATATTGAAAGAGAGTCAGTGGGGGTAGGAGGACTCGCCACCTACCCGCTGCCCAAATCGGCATCGCCGGCAGCGGCAGACGAATACCCTCCGGGCACCGGCTGCTTGGAGGCTTGCCGCCGGCGAGTGATCGTGTTATTCATCGTTGTTGTTGTTGGGCTGTGACCCATTCCTTGAGTAAGTATGTTTCATACCTTCGTTGTGATCTGTTGATTGATTTTTGTTGAGGGGTGACGCGTGTGTGGCTTTACCTGGATTGCACGATTAGTGGTATGGGACACTATTAACCAAGGTATTGCAGTGGTCCTAGTGGTATGGGACACTATTAACCAAGGTATTGCAGCGGTCCTCGTGGTGGCCGTGACGTGATTATGGAGCTGTGGCCTTTGTGTAAGGTTCACGTGATTGTTACTGGGATAACATGTGTTATCAAGGGCATGTGTTTCCATGTGTGTGTACGGTACCTCGTGTACTATGAAATCGGTGGTTTTGTTGGAGGACTGTTGGAGGGGGAACGACGGTTCCCGGGGGAATAAGGTTGGACTTGGTATACAGTGGTCCTGGAGGTAAAGGTTGGAACTAGATATAAGGTTGGGGGTAGCCATAAAGTTAGAACAGGGCATAAGGAAGGCATATCAACTCGTGATGTGTGATGTCACGAGGGCTTGTGTAGCCGTGGTTGTGTGTTCTCTTCTTGTGACATGTGTAGTCACAAAGGCATGTGTTGCCTAGGCATGTATTGCCATTTGTCGTGTCTTTATCCTTGAGTTGTTGTTGTCCTTTGTGATCTTGGGATGTGTTCCCGTGTTATCTTTGAGAGTGATGAGTCTTGAGTTGGTATTTTTACTCTTGGTTTTACACTTATATATATGTATTCCGTTTTGAAATGATTTTGTATATATATCCTATCTATGTATGATACTTAACAGGTATTGGTGTGTTACCAGCATTATTCGCTGATCGGGCGTTGTTCTATGTTTTTGTTGTGTTCTTTCAGGTGATGTCTAGACGAGCGCGATGTCTAGTGCCGATAGTTTAGCTCCTTTCGTTTGTCTTAGACCTGTGAGCCAATTTAGTTATAGACATGTGAGTTTTGGGATAGTTGTGAACCATGCAGATTTTGCTGTAGCGTTTATCGTTGTTGGTAAACGTGGCGTAACACCCCATGACTGAGATTTACGTTTATCCAGTTATCTTTTAATCTTCCGCTGTGCTAGTGTTTAGTTGTGTTATCTGCATGTGTTAAGGCTTTTTATTTAGCATGTTTTGGGGGGTGTTACACATGGACCATGCGAATGACACTTCGGTGCTACCATGTTGGTGGACTTGTTGGTGGTTACGGAGTGGGGCATGTAGTTGCTCCGAAGGAATAAGGGAGGAGGTATAAGGTTGGCCTGGAGGTACATGTTGGAACTGATATAGGATGGAGTGGAGTAAAAAGGTTGGAACTTGGTATAAGGTTGGAAGATGGATTGTGTGCTTTGATGATTACTTGCTAATTGATTGTCTTTGAATTCCATTGTTGTCTCTATTTGTTCTTTATGAGCTCACTTGTTTGTTATGCCTTGCCTTGTGTTCTTAGGATGCACGCTAGTCTTTATTATTGTTCTATAGTGTCAAGTCTGTTGTTGTGTCTTGAGTCATGATCTCGGTTTAAAAGCTAGAGTTGCTTAGGTTATATATGTATTCCGGTTTCAAAATGATATGCTTATATCTACCTATATGGTACTCGACGCGTGGGAGTGGGTTAACAGCTGACGGTTGTTATACCGCATATTTTTCAGGTACTGACCAGTAGCTTCAGAGTGCGCTAGACGGACCCGCATATTTAGCATTAGTTAGTTTTAGTCATAGTTATGGCATGTGTGCCTTGAATTGTATTTGAATATTATTTGTGGATTATGCTTAGATTAGTTAGTTGTAGCCTGTGCATCTAGGTTCTCAAATCTAGGTGTGGCATAACACCCCGACTCTTATGATTAGTTTACGCTCTGTTTGGATGATTAATAATAGATTTGCCTTGATTTCATAAGCTTTAAATGTTTTAAAAATTAGGGGTGTTATAGTTATACTCGTTATACTTGGTATTTTCCCATGAAATTAGAATCTGATCTGTATGTCATCTTTGATAAATTTTGTACAATGGTTGAACAGTTTTTTAATAGAAAGATTAAAGCCATTCAATTTGATTTATGAGCTGAATACAAAAAATTGCATCACTCCTTTACTCAATTAGGTATCGTTCATAGACAATCATGTGCCTACATCCATGAACAAACCGGTCGTGTCGAAAGAAAACGTAGACACAGTTGAAACAGGTCTAATCTGGCTCTTTTAGCCCGTGCCTCTGTTCCATATAAATTCTGGGATTATGACTTTGAAACTGCAGTTTATTTACTCAATAAAATGACATCTGTCATATTAAATAATCTGAGTCCTCACTTTAAAGTTCATGCTTCCAATCCCTCATATTCTCTTCGTGTCTTTGAGTGTCTATGTTATCCATATCTCAAGCCATATAATCGTCACAAACTCTCATACCGGTCATCTCCATGTGTCTTCCTACGTTATCCTGAGTCGTTTCGGGGGTATAGGTGCATGGACTTACAGACTAACAAGATTTATGTGTGTAGGCATGTAAGGTTTGATGAGACAGTTTATCCTTTTGCTACTAACACTATTGTGCAGTCTTCTCAACCCGTGCAAAATATTCCCTATGTTGAATCTGTTCTTCATCACATGCCACCAGCTGCTCCTCCCCGCGGGAATTTCCCGATTCCACCCGCGGCACCTTTTGATCCGCACAGCAGCGACGACACACCGCCCTCACCGCCTCACACAAATTCTAACCCGCTAGACGTGCCCGAGCCCGAACCACTTGAGCCAACAAATCAACCTGCCAAGCGGCCTCACGGTCGTCGTCGAGGCAAATCTGTTAAATCCACAATTCAAACTCACGAGATAAACACTCGTAGTCGCTCTCAAGCTCCTCCAACGACTAACGGTTCAGGTGTGTCCTTCAGATCTTACTTGTTATGCACATGCAGTTAAGTTTCAAGAATGGCGTGAGGTTATAGACAAAGAATTTAATGCCCTTCTACAAAATCAGACATGGCAACTTGTGCCATCTCAGCCAGGTTTGAACATTATTGGGTGCAAATGTGTCTTTCGTACAAAACGAAAGGCAGATGGCTCTATTGAGAGGCATAAGGCAAGACTTGTAGCAAAGGGGTTTAACCAGGTACCAGGTCAGGATTTCTTTGATACTTTTAGTGCAATGGTTAAACCAACCACAATCAGGTTATTCTTTTCTCTAGCTCTATCGTCTAGATGGTTTATTAAACAACTTGATGTTCAAAAGCCTTCTTAAATGGAAATTTATCTGAGACTGTGTACATGAAGCAACCACCTGGTTATATTGATGATCATCATCCAAATTATGTTTGCTTACTGAAAAGATCTCTTTATGGCCTAAAACAAGCCCCTAGGGCTTGGTTAAATCATGTGCACACTTTTCTATTATCTATTGGTTTTCAAGCATCGAAAATGGATGTGTCTCTATTTTATCACTTGATATGAACTCCAAGGTTCACATAAAGATGGAATATTGTCCCAAGAATGCTCTCAAAGTAAAGATAGAGATGGATCAAAATACCTTAAACCTCACGAGAAACCCTTTGTCTCGAATCCTCAAAGACTTGGAAGAGTCCCATGTAGCTTCAAGTACCTTGATGTTGCAATCTTCAATCAACTAGAGTCGGATCTAGTTTCCTTCGATTCAAGAACAAGTCCACGAACCTAAATCTAAGGTTGGAGAAAGTAAGATTGATTCGAATCCACGAATCAATTTGCTAGTCGAGTCCACGACTAGCCACTAATTGAGTCCACAATTAGCCATAAGGTTTCTTACACAAGTGTAAAGAAAAACTTAAGAATTTTATTGAATTAAAGCCTCATCGAAACTGATATGGATGTGCCCTATTTATAGGTATAGGGGCAGTAATATAATTCTAAATATAATGGGGAAAAGAGTCCTAAACCTAATCTAGAAAACAAGTAAATAGAGTTTTATTTAGAAAGGGATTTAAGGAATCCTTTCTAAATATAAATTAGTGTTTTCTCTTTTTTTGCCAAAAAATTTAAATTAATGATGACAAAAAATAATAGGGCTGATTTGGGCCTAATTTAATCACCAAAATCAGCACTTAAACAATTATAAAAAAAAAAAGCTTTGAGTTCTTCATATTTTGCAAATGGGCTTGACTTGGATTTCCACAATCTGTGAACATCACCAATGAAGGGTTGCCTTAATTGTTTGGACTTGGGTCTTGTGATTGGTCCAATTAGTACTCTTAATGGATCTTCATATGTTGGGCCGCATCATCCTCCCCTTCTTGAAAATGATTCGACCTCGAATCTTGTAAGCATTGTCTTCGATCCATGATATCACTTGAAATTGGCTACTATAATATTTTCCTCTATCGAATGGACTTATTATTGGTCTTTGTTGTTTCTTCCACCAATGATGTTTTAAGGTCGTAGTTATGGGCTTTGTGATGAGCCCACTATTTACCCTTACTGGGTTCCATGTGTACTGGTTCCTATTATTCTCCCATTCTTGAAAAGGATTCGTCATCAAATCCAAATCTTCAGTGAAAGACAAAGTAGCAAGCTCACTTTCTGTTTTATCACGCTCATGGAACTTTTTCTTGGGATTCTTGACACGAGTCGCTCCAATCATCATCCTACAATCAACAAGTAAGGCAATTAAGTCTAATGACACATCAGGGAATTTAAACATTCTGGATGGTAATAATTCAACAAAATGAGACATTAAATTTATGCATCTTGTTTGAATTGTCAAAAAGCACAAAATCTTTCCTCCTAGAGCTTAAGGTAAAAACAAACAGAAAATTCATGGAAATATCAAGTAATGATTTAGATGTATTATGGTGGTAAGTAGCACAATTTTGAACATAAGATTCTACATCTTTTTTCTTCTTTGGCCAATGAAAATATTCATGCAAAAGATCATTACTCTTTAGAAAATCAAAATGTCCCATAAGTGAATCAACAATTAAATCATTGCCCAAAACAAAGCAAAAAGTGTCAATCCCATTGACTTTGAACCAAAATCCCTTGTGCAAGTGGTATTTGCCATAAGAAGTTTTCAAATGTGCCTTATAACTTCCAAGTGATTCCTTATCTCTATCAAATAAAGTTTTAGTAAAATCAAAATTAAGAAATCTTGGATGTATGGAGGCAAACAAATTTCTAATACATCTGGCAAGTAGGTCATTAATAAAAACATGGCAAACAAATATAGAGAATTTTAATGCATGCTTTTGAAATAAAAGTGAGTAAATAGTTACTCTCCTTCTTTTCTCTTGCTTAATATCCTTTGTAGTTACCAAGAGAAGTTGCACTTTGACACCTTGGGCTGGTCCTTTCCACTGTATTACTGATTGTGGTCCCTTTGTTTGGCTACAAACTGAGTTAGAAGATTGGAGTGGTGATTGCAATTTCAAACATGGAGGTTCCACTTTTCTCTCTTTGATTTCTTCCTTTGATGCTGGTTTGAGAGCTTGCATCAATGTCAATTGAATTTCTTCTACTTGTTTAGGATACAAACGAGGCAAGACATATGTAACTCCATTCATGTGAAACACATAAGTGTTCTTCATTCCATCATAACTTATTTTCTGTCAAATTGCCATGGTCTACCTAACAAGATATGAGCAGCCTGCATTGGGATATTATCACACAAGATTTCATCAGAGTAACTGTTAATAGATAAAGGAATAAGAGCCTGTTTGGTTACTCTAGCTTCTCCTGCATCAGTTAACCATTGCAAACAATAAGGATTTGGATGATTAAGCAAAGGTAACTGAAGAAAATTAACCATAGTTGCACTAGTCACATTTGTGCAACTTCTAGAATCTATTACCATAACACACACATTCTCTCTAATTGACACTTTAGCACAAAATATATTTTCTCTTTGAGACTGATCTTCTTTTAAAGGGTGAACATTCAAAACCTCCTTAATAACAACAGTATGACTAGACTCACTATCAACATATTTAGAATGAGAATCTAAAGGTATGAATGGTTATCTCTCAACATGTTCATTGGGGGTTTCAAAATGGTCACAAACCTCATCTCAGATTTATATTCAAGACAAGAAGTAAAATTTTCAGATTGTGTTGTTATCTTAACTACCCTCTTGTTATGGCAATCACGAGCTATGTGGCCTCTCCCATTACATCTATAACAAATCAATTCTCTATCACGTTGAGGCTTCACTGCCTCACTTACCTTTTCTTTACCTTTGTCTCATGAATAATCCCTTGGAAGAGGACGTTCATCACGCCTTTGAGAGGTGGAACAAGTGTTGTTCCATTTTGATGCACCATTGTTGGCCTTGTACATTTTCATCTCTTTGATTTTTGCCTCAGATTCACGTGCAACATACAAGGCATCATAAAGGGTGTCATATCTCTGAATACTCATTCCATATCGAATTTCTAAGTTCAATCCATGTACGAAACGAGCAATAGATTTTGCCTCTTCCTCATGTACGTTTCCCTGTTCAAGCAAAATATTTATAGTTTGGTGGTACTCATCAACTGACATTGTTCCTTGCACGGTTCCCTGCAATTTTCTTTCAAGATCATAGAAAAAAGATTTAGGACGAAAGGTTAGACGCATATCTTCCATCACTTGAACCCAAGATTCATAGGGAATAAAATTAGCAACTCTCTCTCTATTTCTTTTTCGCCACCAAGATAATGCATACCCCTTAAAAGATGTAGCCACTTGCCTAATTTTTGTAAGATCGGAATAGTGCTTTAAATAAAAAGGAGTTTCAATAGCATTCTCCCATTCTATGTATTCGGTAGGTCCTTTCTCACTGGTGAAGTTAGGAATTTCATGTTTAATGTTTCCTAACTCCGCATTACGCTGTGGGGATCCTTTGATATCTAGGATCCACTCTTCCTGCTGGTGGCAGGTGTCGCTCATCATTGTGTGGTGGTTGCACTTGCTGTGAGCGTTGCTCCAAAATATTCATTCGTTTGAGTAACCTGTCTATCTTTTGTTCTAAT